TTTATGAACGCAGTTGTTCTTTTGTAGAGATAATTTCAACAACCGCTTTATTAACTACTGCTTTACCAACAACTACTTTAGTAACTTGTGAGGTACCAGCAACTGCTTCATTAACTACTGAGTTACCAACAGCTGCTTTATTAACTACTGATTTACCAACAACTACGTCACTAACTACTGAATTACCAGTAGCTGCTTTATTAACTACTGAAGTACCAACAACTACTTCCTTAACCACTGAATCACCAACAACTGCTTTATTAACTACTGAAGTACCAACAACTCGTCCGTCCGAAACGCCACAACACAGTAAGTACGATACAGAACAATTGTATGATATCGTTTTTTATTACATGAATAGAGTCAGTTCTTTTGAACTAAAACGTACGACTTATTAAAAAAAATTTCGTTCGTTTTCTATTTATTAGGTTATTTATCACCGTCATATTTCGTTGCACCTTCATGTGAAGATTCAACAAATATTGGTATTAATTGTAACATACCTGGTACTATATGTGATATACAAAATCAATGTGTTAATAATGGTAAATGTATCAATATAAATGATAAACAAGATTATAATTGTTCATGTCCATTTGATTTTTCTGGTAAACAATGCCAATTTGATCAACGTCTTTGTAAAGAAAATACTTGTTTAAATAAAGGTGAACTTATATTTTCATCATTAAAAAATGAGAGAATATTTTCTATTTTTAGGTGTTTGTAAAATAACATCAAAATCAACATTTAATTGTACATGTTCATCTGGCTTTGAAGGAGCACGGTGCGAAAGAAGAATCAATTATTGCTTGAATATCACATGTTATAATGAAGGTGTTTGTCGTTCAGTACTACTTGGTTATATTTGTCAATGTCTAAGCGGAACTTCAGGTCAGCATTGTGAAAAGACAGAGAAAAAACTTTTTATTTATAAAGCTGTATCGAAATCATTTGCTTATATTGCAATTGTCGCGATGGTATGTGTTGCATTATTTGTACTTATTATAGATATTCTTAAATATTGTTTTGGCATTGATCAAACATGTCGAGAAGTTGAACGAATTCGACGAGAACGACGAGCAAAAAGACAAAAACCAGTCATTCAACGACTTATTTATGTGAATATAACATCTGTATCTGATCGACACTTTCGACTATAAAGGAAGGAACATCTGCTTAGGTATTTTTTCTTTATTTATTTAATGTTAACTGTATATTCGATTATAAACACTTAAAGCGTAATCATGAATATTATGTCCATGATTTTTCAATATTGAAAGTAGGTGATGTGTCATATATTTGAAAAAAATAGTTTATTTCTGTTATTTATATTTACAATGATGCTTTGATAATTATTAATTTGAGTATTCTCCTTAATTTACATATTGTGGTTAAAAATTTTGAAAATTATATATGAAATGTCTCAAAACATATTATCATCTTTTCAAAAAAATCACATTTCTACTAATTATGAACATTTTATATTCTTTTAATCTAATAAATATTTACTTTAGTAATAAACGAATATTTGTAGATTCATCACTTATACTCTTCTACATGTATATTCTTACAAGTGCGAAAAAAGACGAGTATGGTTGTGACAAGAGAAGAAACATCTACCCATACGCCTTGGGAAACAAATATCATAGTTTAATATATCGAATTGAATACATCTTAGAATAGCAGATATATCAGTTTATTAAGAATTCAAAGTTGATCTAATGTGGTTGATGGTATGGTTGTAAGTGTGAGTGCAATATTGATCAGTCAGCCACACCCGTACCCTCACCCAAAAAAATATTGCAATACTATCTAAAAATAGTTCTGGTAAACTTTTTTGAATTAGATCAAAAGAGGGTCTACGTGTGGATTTGTATCTTTGTTCTTTTATCTTGCGTTCACTCACACCCATCCCTATACTCGCAATATGTGTGATTCATCACCGAGTAACCAGTCGATGAAGTTGTTGTACTGCCGAGTATTTTAACAACCTGAACATGAGCCAATGACGATAGACACCATGCTAAGAACAAAGTAGCTGCAGCAAAGCTATCGATGGCAATTGAATACTCGAACAGGTTCCTATCGAAGATTAACAATGATCAGTGAACTCTACAACGTATTTTCTTTTCCCACTTCTTCTATATTCTAATTTGTAAATCAATTCTTTTTAAAAAGATCCTCTATCAATATCTTCCTGAATAGTATAGTATAACAGAAATCGATTTTGCGATGAAATTAATTGTGAGCAAGATAATAATTCTCATGTACTTAAAGATTTTTCTTAATGATTTATGACTCACATCTACATCCTCAGATGAATTCAAAATAGTATCTAATATGATTCATAAAATCGAACAAAGCGAAAAGTTTGATATTCGATTAAATTTATATAACTATTGTTGATGGCAACACCGATGACTAATTACATTTGAAATACTAAGAAAAAAACATTCCATTTTCTACAATATTCTATTGCAGAAACACATGTGATGACTAAGTGTTTAGTTAAGGCAATTCGTTAATTATCAGAATTTGTTATTTTGTTTCTTTCATAATAATGAATGAGTATTCTGAAGGTAATTTAATTTTAAAAAGTCATTATATATACACAAAAAAAACTGTTTCTTTTTTCTTCGTATTTAGTCAAATTTTTTTCCCTGTTGCTATTCTACTCATTTTGTATATGGAATAGACATGACTAGTTATTTTTTCCCAGAAATCTGACAAACAATCTACAGCACTTTTTTTTGTAATGATTAAATATTAAACGAGAGAGTTGGAGAAAATAAAGAATAAAAGAGAAACAGTAATGCCAGTTACTAAAACATTTGTAAAACAATTTTAAAATAAAAAGTCACAAGAGATGTTTTGGATATTTTTTGTTTTATTGATATTTTCTAATGGTGATTGTATTCTTATCGGTAAAAGAGATAATAATATACTGATCGGTAATATATATAAGACATTATGGAATATAACGCAAAGTCAGTGTATGTGTGAAATGATAACTTCAAATGGAATAATATCAACATTAAATTATTTTTCAATAAATCAAACTTGTCAATTATTTTATACAAATGACAGTTCGATTTTAATTGAATTTAATCTGAATTCTTCTTTGATATTTATGAATCAATCAGCAATATACATAGCACTGAGTAAGTATATTATAACTATTGTAAAAATATTTTAGTTTTGCTTTTGAATGGCATATCTTTTTGTCATACCAATTATACTATAACAAATATTCAACGTATTTCTTATATAAAAACGTAAGGTTTATAGAAATATTTGAACTTATGTAAACTTTATCACAATGCTTTCATAGTCAGATACACTATTAGTATAACGAAACATGCAGAATTTTGGGCGAAGCCTTACCAAATTATCGTGTCACTTTTTTAATCTCACTTTTCTAATATAGATCAGATCACATCAACATCACCACCATCATCATCGTCAACAACATCGTCATCATCATCGTCAACAACATCATCATCATCATCATCAAGCACATCATCGTCATCAACCACATCATCATCGTCAACAACGTCATCATCATCAAGCACATCATCATCGTCAACAACATCATCATCATCAAGCACATCATCATCATCAAGCACATCATCATTATCATCAACCACATCATCATCGTCAACAACATCATCATCAACAACAGCAGTACCAGGTTAGTAATATACTAGATGTTTCGTAGTTGTTTCACCGATGGTTATCTCAGATGATAATTCGCTCGATTTTGAGGGTGTGGGTGTTCGTGAAGCAAAGATAAATTTATACCCGCATTCTTATTTTATTCATTAAAACAAAGAAAATTTTGTCAACGTCTCAATATCATTGAGTTCGAAAACAGTGCATAAACAACTTATGTATATGACTGAATTAATATTTGTCTATGTTATTTAGGATGGACAACAACAGGAAATATGAGTTTTACACGGCAATATCACACAGCATCCACATTAACAAATGGATCAGTATTAGTTGCTGGTGGATACAACGGTACTTATCTTAATAGTGCTGAATTGTACAATCCATCAGCAGGCACTTGGACAATCACAGGAAGCATGAATGCCGCACGGCAATATCACACAGCATCCATATTAGCAAATGGATTAATATTAGTTACTGGAGGACTGAGCAGCGGTAGTGCTCTCAACATTGCTGAATTTTACAATCCATCGACAGGCATTTGGACAACCACAGGAAGCATGAATACCGCACGATATTATCATACAGCATCCACATTAGCAAATGGATATATATTAGTTGCTGGTGGTCAAAGCACCAGTGATTCTCTTAATAATGTTGAATTTTACAATCCATCAGCAGGCACTTGGACAACTACAGAAAAAATGAGTTTTGCACGGCAATATCACACAGCATCCATATTAGCAAATGGATCAGTATTAGTTGCTGGTGGATACAACGGTACTTATCTTAATAGTGCTGAATTGTACAATCCATCAGCAGGCACTTGGACAACTACAGGAAACATGAATTTTGCACGAGCATATCACACAGCATCCATATTAGCAAATGGATCAGTATTAGTTGCTGGTGGACAAAGCAGCAGTGATTCTCTTAATAATGTTGAATTGTACAATCCATCAGCAGGCACTTGGACAATCACAGGAAGCATGAATGTTGCACGATATTCTCACATAGCATCTATATTAGCAAATAGATTAGTATTAGTTGCTGGTGGGCGGGGTAGCAGTGGTATCCTCAATAGTGCTGAATTATACAATCCATCAACAGGCACTTGGACAACTACAGGAAACATGAGTTTTGCACGATGTCAATACGCAGTATCCACATTAGCAAATGGAAAAATATTAGTTACTGGTGGAAAGAGCAGCAGCGGTATTGCTTTTCAAAATACTGCTGAGCTTTATTAATCAATACAGACACAATGACATTTTCTTTTTTGAACTGAATCATAAAATTTTATATGTAATCAAATTATTTAATCATTCACATTTCTTAATAAATTATCATTCACCACATAATATATGAATTGGAGTAATATTTCGAAGTGATAATATATGGCGGTTGTTAAAAAAGAGCCGTAATTGATAAAAGACAGATCATTATTTGTGTAACTGAGTGAATATAAATACAAATGTGAAGGATATTAATCATTCCCTGGTACCAATCACATGTCTTCGAATGAGAGCGAGTTCACATGTGATGATAACGTATGAGTAATCATGTTCAAGTGTGTATCAGAAATGAATAATATGTTCAAGCAAATCAATTTTTTCCAACCAAAGTCTTTTTTTGTCAAATAGCTTGGTCAGTTTAATTATTGTATTTTATGTTTTTTTTATGCTCATAACTTTATAAAATGGATGATAATCTCGACAAAGAACAAATTAAATGTCCATGTCGAAGAAATAAGGCATATTATGGAAAAACGACTACTTATTGCTGAATAAATAAATCAAAATGAAAATAGAATTTATATTATTGAAAGCAAAGAGAGACGAGTGAGAGTATGAAACAGTGTTGTATTCACTCTGGATGTACACTTGAGTGTGGATCTTTTATCTATCACCTACACCGAATTATTTCTTCGGATGATGTCAAATGATCTTTTTCATTAGAGACACATTTATGTTTGTTTAACGATCCTTTTGTTTTTCGCATAGATATGAGGAAGAGATGAAATATGAGAACAAAAGCAACTTAAAAATATACTGGATTGCAATGAGGAAAAGAGTAATATGCATCGAATACGTTCATTAGTTGTCGATCGAACGTGAAATAACTTGCATACTAATTATACTCTTCAGATTAATTTACATTTGTGTCATATTTATAGTTGAATTCAAGTTTCAAGTTAGACATTATTATATTATTTGTCAGAATTGAATTAAAATTTATTATTTCTTTCACTTTTCATTGTTGAATGTATATCATCTATTTTCTCATCATTATTACTAGAAAATATGTAATATATTCATTAGCATAAATATTGACACATTATCGATACTATTAGTTCACTTACATAAAGCCACATAAGAAAGAATTTTTAGACAATTTGTTACCATCTTTTTCATATAGGTAGATAATGACAAAATACATTTTTCAACGGAGACTTACTCTATGCTCATTCTCAGAGACGACGGTTCGTTTTTCTAGTATATAAATATAACAGATAGTCATAAATTCTATTAGAAAATAGGATAATCTTTTCTTTTTTGATTAATTAAATCTAATACAGAACTAATCGAGTAAAGTTTTACATAAATGATGATTGTTGATTGTATGTTGAATATTGAGTTGAAGAAGGTGTATATTCATCACAGAAGAACATAAGTTCTCGAGAAAATAAAATCATCGATTGTTCAATCTAAAACAAATCAAATAAATTAAATCGAACAAAAACATTTGAACTTACGGTATCAATTAAATGTGGATCAGTTAGAACAGGTGGTGATCGATATCGTTCATTAACAAGATTTTCACAACCTAATCGAGTCATAGTTGAAATTTCAAATAAATAAATAGCTAAGATCATATCAGAATCCGTAGCTTCGATATGTGCATTACATTTAGCTATTGCTTCACAGACTTGTGTTCTATATTTTTCAATTAAAAATTAATAAATTATATAATTCATTCATAACTTACAAGACATCAGTTGTCGAAACTGGAAGTTCTGTATAAGAAAAGAGTGTACGTTTTGTTCGACGACATGCACAAAAATATTTCTTTAAAAGACATTCAGCTTCATAACTCAATGGCATTTCTATCATTCGAACATAAGCAAGAAACTAGATTTTATAAAGAAAATATAAGATTTATTGATTCAAATTATATTTACACTACGAAGATCATCAATCCATTGACTTGTTCGTTGATCGATTAGTACTTGTTCATTATCACTATTTAATTTTGAATCCAAATAATCTTCAATTGTTTCTTCTATATATATGTACAATATTAATAGAGACAATAGAAAAAATATTTTTTTTACCATATTCATATTCAATTTCATTAAGTGGTAATACTAAACTAAATGCACTTAAAAATACGAATATATATACATATGAAATATTTTGAATTCAATGAAAATTTACTCAGCTAAAGCTGGTGATAAATCATTTGTTGGTTCTGTTAATCGTTCAGCATTTAACCATAAACGACTATCATGATACGCCCATATGTTACTATTAAATGGTACACTATAGACAATTTTTGATGCTTCTTCACTTTTATTCACTTCAATACTGAGTGTTTTTGTTTCAAATGCTACAACATTAAAAATATAAAATATCTTGATACAAAAAAATTCGTTTTCTTACTAGTATGAAGTTGTTTGATTTGTGCTTTATTTAAACTATCGATACTTTCTAAATAAGTAATTCCATCATCACCAATCGCAATCGAACCAGCTATATTAAAAATAATATACACATATGAAGATGAAATTAAATTTTTACCAGAAACAATAAATGATGGATGTTTATTTTTAGGAATCGATGCAAGTGTAAGTGGATATTGTTGTCGATGTATAACACCATATTCAGCATATTTTAATGCTGTTTGACAAAGAATATCAGCAACACGACTTTCATTACCAATAATAAGTATATGAAGTGATGATGAAACAAGACTAAGTATTAAACCCATTTTAACATGTGTACAATATTTAGCTAATTGAATATGTGCTATGAAAATTACAGAAAAAAACTAAATAAATTGAAATATGAAATTAAATTTACGACAAAAAAGGGTTGATAAAATATTAAGAAAACTAAATGAATGATGATGAGCAAAATTATAATGTAAATGTTGAATAGAATCAGGTAATGAAAGACGATATGGTTGAATTAATTCACAATGTAATACTTCAAACATGACTCTATGCGAATGAGAATCATTTACTGGATAACAGAAAAAAGTATATTTTCCACCAAGACGAATCGATGAAACATATTCATCTAAACATCAAAATTATCAAGATGTAATATTAATGTATTATTTACCACGGACGATGATGGTATATGCATTAGATAATAAACTATCCAATTCAAGATTCGATGTTGAAGAAAGTATCGATGTTTTTGGTTCTTTTATTTTAACAGAAATAATAAGTTTTTCTAAATAAATATCGATATTTTATGAATATATATTTATTTATATAAACCAGAAATCCATCGTTTATTGATATCTTCATGAAGAACTAAATCACAACCATCACATAAAATAGTTCTATAAATAGATTGTAGAAATTAAATATCTATTTTTTTTGTTTTACATACTCTCCAATTTTACAATTATGTGGATGTTCATTATCGAATAATACAAATTTTTGACGTTTTCGATCACTTAAAGGACACATGTTACTATGACATACATACTTCAGTCCACGTCTATTAAACAAATATATAACTATGAATAATAAAAAAATTCAATATACATGTAAGGCAAAACAGCACTTGATGCAATGACAGTACCACTAAGACGAACAGGATGTGTACGAGATAATAAATCTGCTTGTGAAGTATTTAATAGCACACGAAATCTAGTATTTAATTATATATTCATTAGAATTTCAAATAAAAATAAACTATTTACTCAGGTTGTGGTGGTAATTTATCATAAATAAATCGAACAGCAATTTGATTCGAATGACTACAAAGACTTTTGACATTCTTGTAAATAATCTATAATAATAATTAAAAAGAAAATATACAGAATAATAAATATATTACTTGTTGAGCAAAAATTGTTGCACGTCTTTGTTGATGAATAATAAATTCAGTAAATGAATCTAAATATTTTTGATGTATATTTTATAAAAATAAAATTAATTTTTACCCGAAATTTGATAACATTTATCCAATCGAACTGGAATATTAAATGGATAAAAACATGTCTCTGAATCTTTTGGCTGTTGAATTATTTCAACTAGTTGTTGTAAACTAGCATTTGATACTTCTTGTTCAATATATAAACGTAATAAACTAAAATCCGATTTTTCAATCAAATGAATTCCTTGACTAAATGCTTGACTAGTCATCATTATACTAATAGAAAATACTTCTCGATAGAATAATTAGTCGTTTTCAAAAAAATGAATATAACGATTTTAACCACGTGTTCATTTATTAACAAATAAGAAGAAGAAAAACTATGAATACAATTTTATTTATATTTTACAAAAAAGTCATTATAAAGTTTGAACGTCTTGTAATGATTCAGTACTACTAAATAATGATGATGATGTTGATTTAAGATTATTTAAATAATCAAGAAACCATGTTTGTTCATTAATCGGTAAAAAATCATGTAAACCATCAAGTAGATTTCGTCGTGATTCACCGTATAAACGAGCTGTTTGTTTAACAAATGTTTTCGTATTTAATTGATTTGATTGCCATTCAGTCAGTAATTTTCCAAATTCACCTAATTCATTAGGTTTTAATTCAAGTTGTAACTAGACAAAAAAACATACAAGATATAAAAATTCACTTTTTCTTTTGTTTTTTCATTACATCAAGAAGATATTTTTGAATAATTTTTGATGTTGCCTTTGTTGAAGATCTCGCTGGTGAACTATCATCATTACGAGTACGTGGTCGTCTTAAATAATAGATAAAAAAAACAATTGTAAAAATAAAATAATATACCGATGTCTTCGGCGTGGAGTTGATAAATCATCATTAATCACTGATGATGTATCTGGTACAGTAACACAAGCAGAAGATGATGATGCTAATGATAGAGAACGTATTGTTGATGGTGATGAAGATGTTGTTGAATCAATTGAACTACGTAATTGTTGAGTTGATGAAAGTGATTTTGTAAGTAAAGATAATTTTTTGCTCATATCAGAATTTTGTTCATTAGCTATATATACTGCACGAAAACAAAAATCCATTGATGAACATAATTCATCAGCTTCATGTCGATCATTTAATAGAAAAATAATTAATTCAACAGTAGATGATTTATCTTTTGTTGAAACTGAGCAAACAAAAAAATTTGTTTTAATGTTAGTTTATTAGAAAGAAAAACAAAAAAGTACCATATTTCATTGCAACAATATGATCTGTTTCATATTCAACATAATAACAAGCAATAACATGATGAGAAAGAATAGATAAAATTGTTTTCTATCAAATATATGAAATTATTAAACTATTATAGAATTTCTTTATTATTTACTTGATGTGTATTCATTAATTTTATTTGTTCAGTAGTTATATTTAATTGCACCATAGATTTTTCAGATATTTTCTTTGGTAAACGACGTTCAATCTATGATCAATGATTTTGTTTCTAATAGAAAAATCATATATTTTCAATACCTGACATTGATATATAAATTGTAAAAATTTCTTTTTATATGAAAGATCAACATCATCATTATGAGTTAAATCAACTGTTCCAGCACACTAACATACAAAACAAAAAAATCAATAAATGATCATGTCTATGACGGGTCAAAAGAACATCTATAGAGCAATGAGTGCAAATTTCTACCCCTATGCATGTTAGTACGAGTTAATTATTAAGTGTTAGAAAGCAAGTACCAATGATTAGTAGTTCTACTTGCTTGAACAATAAATGCCGCAACTCCTTCATCAGCCAGATCATTTGTCCATGGCGATGGTGGACGTAATCGATCTAATTTATGTTGTTTGGTTTTAGTTGAAAGAGATGATACACGTGAAAACATCTAAGAATTGAATATCAGTCAGTTTTAAAACTTGGTTTTATTTTTTTATTTTTATATAGAAAAGAAAAGGAAACTCCGGTTTATTAAGTTTTGTTTTTTTGTAAAATTTCACAAATTTTTAACAAGTGCACGACATCGTTCAAAGCATTCAAGTGTATCCGAATTTAATTGCGCTGCTGATTTTTCTAGTGCAGTAAAAAATCGTTTTGCACTATTATCAGTTGTTGTTTGTACATTAAGAACAATTTCAGCATTGGTACAAAATAATGTTCCTAAACCAAGTATAAGACGTTTTGCACCATCCGATTCGAATTGTATATCAACAAATTCTTTATAACATTCATATAAATAATTCGAAAGACGTTGATCATTACTACGATAAGCATAAATACAATAATTTAAAATAACATTTGTCAAAGCTATTTGAGTATTTTTTTTTGTTAATGGTAAATATATAAGTGTTTTAGCTAATATTGAATTGCTATTTTTAATTAGAAATTTTTCACCTAAATCATTTGAAAATAAATTTGTTAATGTACGAAATATTAACATGATATTAGCTGATTGATCTGGTTGAAGATATTGTAAAAGTTGAGCAATAAATTCATTAGATCGAATATCATTTTCAAATATATATTTGCATACATCTGCATTAAGAACAATTAAACGTATTATATCTAATATAGGAAATACTTTATCTAAACGAGAAAAGAAGCAATAATTTATATAAAGATATAAATATATGAATATACCTGTAGGCCATTTAAGTATTTGAAATAGAAGATTCATTTTTGTTTCAAGATAAGTTGTATTTCCATTAACTAAATCATTTATTTCTTGTAATTGTATGTCAGATAAACGAAGACCATCACCGGCTGCACTTTCATTAAATTCTTTAAGTTTACCAAATATTTTAACTGTATCAGCATTTCCCATAACAATATAATGATTTTGAGGAAATGTTGCTGAAAGTTCAGCATCTTTCTCTGTTTCTAAATAAATAATAAATATATATATATATAATTCAAACAATCTATTTCATACTTATAACAGTTGATTGTGAAGCAGATAATAGTTTTGGTGGTTGATTATTATCACCATTTGGAACATAACGTCCACTGCCAGTAAATGGATCTTGAGTTACATTTGTTGTCTGTCGACCTGTTGATGAATTTGAATTAGGAACATAACGTCCAGCACCTGTAAATGGGTCATAATTAGATCGGTGTTCACCAGTATCCATTGGTGAACTACCAGGAACATAACGCCCACCACCTAAATATTTATTATTAATACTATGAATAATAAACTCACAAAAGAAAAAATAATTTACCAGTAAATGGATCCGTAAAATCTGCTGCTCTTTGATCAATAACCATTCCTTTTGTATTTGTTATAATAAATTGTGCTATTTGATCAAGAAACATTTGACTTAATTCATTTCGATGAATAAATGCTTGTGCAGCAAACCATGGATCATCACTTATATTATATGGAAGTTTAAGTGGTACACCCTCATCAAGTTCAACATTAAATACATAATCATAGTATTTTCCTTCGAAAAGAATCTTATCACCAGTTGCTGATGCTTGTCCTTGTGATGTACTATCAGCTGAACCGACAACATCACCTATTTTCATCCAACGTTGATCAAGCATATTCCATTGATATGCTTCAACTTGTCCACCACCTTTATTAATCATAGTTGTTTGACCTTCACGTGTTCCAGGTTTTTTCAAAGCATCTTCAGTTGGTAAATCATCAATTTTAACTTCACCTAAATCACCTGTTTTTGTTTGAATAGTTGTTGAAGCTATTTCTTGTTCAAATCCAGCTATTTCTTCCATTGTTGCCATACGTGTTTGATCTTTTGAAAAAATACATATACGTCCATCACTAAAAATTATTTCTTTGTTTCTTATTGAATAATTCATTTTTATTAAAATACAAACCTGCATCCAACAGCAACATCATGATTTGTTAATGAACAAACACTCCAAACAGTACCTGATGGAAGTCGAATCGTTTGTATTGATTCCTTTTCATTAATTGACCATATACATAATGAACGATCTTCACTTACAGATGCAAATTGATCCGAAGATATCATCGTTATACTATAGACAAAATTTGTATGACCTTTATATGTTTGTAAACATTGTGCAGAATTAATATTCCATCGTTTAATGAAATTATCATTTGAACTTGATAAAAATTCATTTGCATTTAATGCTACTAATGATCGAACACAATTTGTATGACCTTATTTAAATAGAAATAGAATAGTACAATAATTGTAACAATATATATATATTATTTACCTTCATATGTTTGAATCTTAGTTTCATTTTTCCAAGCAAAAATTAAATTATCAGCACCACCAGTTAAAATAATCTTGAAATTATTTTTTACATCATTCATAGAAAGAATAGCCCATACTGCTTTACTATGACCTATTGAAATAAATGAAAAATATTCGATTTAATAACAAGATAATTTATTTATAAATACCTTTAATAGTATGTGTACATTGTTTTGTAGATAAAGACCATACACGTCCAGTGGTATCCCATGATCCACTTAATAACAGATCACTTTGTGGTATATATGATAAACATGAAACTTTAAATAAAACGAAATATTATAGTAAAGAAAAAATGTTCCTATTTACCGGCTTGTTCATGTCCTTCTAATGAAAATAAATATGTGCCTTGTTTAGCTGAATAAACACAGATTTTTTTATCATTGCTTCCTGTTGCAATAAGACCATCAGGAAATTGATCACATGATGGTATATAACATGTAGAAATAATATAATTTGTATGATTTGATAGAACAGCACGTTGTTCAAATGAAGTTTTACTAAATCAAATTTTCTATTGAATCATAAAATAAGTTTTCAAAAATAAATACTCTGTTGCACTTGGACGCCAAATTCGTGCTGTTTTATCTCTTGATCCACTGATAATACCATCGTATTCAGTTATTGTTGATACTGAACGTACATCGGATTCATGTCCGTACAATTGACAACGAAGACGATAAGAAGTATTAGCCATATTACAAAATTCAAAAAGTCAAATAAGAACAAAAAAAAAAATACAGTCCGTCTTTTTTCTTTTTGATCAACTAGGAAAAGAAGAGTCTGATATCTGATTGGATATTTTTCTAACATTGATAGTAGCGCCAATAAAAATAAAACTTTTATCGAATTGAATATGACGACATTCGTTTAAAGAACAGAACTATTTAATCGTTTATTCGATACAACATATGATTGTTTATGATTTGAAAATCTGGGAAATTTTTTTGTTTCTTTTAAATTTTAATCAAGTCATTGGTTAATTTCTTTCTTTGATGACCTTCACATTTTTTGACTCATATTTTTGCCTTGTAAAAGTTTCGAAATTACATTCACTTAAATACTCTTCTCATCATATATTTTACATTGCATAAAATTTCTTTTTTTCCCTACATCGATTTTTTTATTTAGATTTTTCCTATTCTATTTAATTAATTTTTTTTTTTGGTTATTTCCTATTTCATTTATATATATATGAATGATTAATAATCTGTATCCATTCATTCTTAGACCTTATTCTGGTTGCTAAGCAATTTTTTTCTTTCTTATTTATAGATCGTCTTTATTTAAAATGCATTACTATTTTATTTTTCTTCATCTATGAGCGACAATCGAATAAAATCAAAAACAAATGGTTATAAAACAAAATCTCCATTGGAGTATGTATTTAAAAAAAAATATTATTTTTTTAAATAACTTTATTCTAATTTACGATATGTCCTCTCTACCGATGTAAACTAGCCTTTTGATAGTACAATAGAGTATCTTTACTATCCATCCGCCATCTTGGTTATATGTTTGGATGACTCTCGAAAAAAAAATTTGTGTGCGTGTGTTTTGTGTGGTTGTGTGTTTTGTCAGTTTAGAACAAAAAAAAATAAAGAAAATAAATATTAATTATCTTCTATTTTAATCATTCTAAATTAGATTATGTCACCAATCAAACAAGATGTCTAAGGACAAGTACGAAAGTTTTTCCTTTAAAAACGATTTTTATTTTTCATATTTTTTTTCAATTAAATTCTTTTTCGATATTATGTAATATGAATTAAAACATTGAATTATTATTTTCTAGGAATGACATTCACCAGGACTCGAGCACGGGGGTTCCTGCCATGGAGCCTGGTAAGACAAAAAAAATTAGACAATTGAATTATTCAAAATAATTTATTCATATTTAGACGGAATCATCGAGAGTAATTGGACAGAAGTGGTCGAACAATTTGATCAGATGAACTTACGTGAACCACTTTTACGTGGTATTTATGGTTATGGTTTCGAACGACCTTCAGCTATTCAACAACGTGCCATTAAACCGTGTATCTTGGGTTAGTTCTTTTGATAAAATTAAAATCTATTTCGAATTTCTATTGATTTTTTTGTGTTAAGGTCATGATGTCATAGCTCAAGCACAATCGGGCACAGGCAAAACAGCTACATTTGCGATTTCAATTTTACAACAACTTGATATGGAATCTAAAGATTGTCAAGCTTTGATTTTAGCACCTACTCGGGAACTGGCTCAACAAGTATAGTTTTTTTATATAAAAACTAATTTATAATAATTGTAATTGATTATTTAGATCCAGAAGGTAGTATTGGCACTTGGTGATTATATGGGTGTTAGTTGTCATGCTTGCATTGGTGGTACAAACGTTCGTGATGACATGAAACGACTTGAAGGTGGTGTTCAGATTGTTGTTGGTACACCAGGTCGTGTTTATGATATGCTTAATCGATCGGCACTTCGTATGTTTTTCTTTAGGATCTTTATTAATTATTTTCTTAATAAATATTTTTAGGCAGTAAAAGTATCAAAATGTTCGTATTAGATGAAGCCGATGAAATGTTATCACGTGGTTTTAAAGAACAAATCTATGATGTATTTACAACAATGCCACAAAATATTCAGGTCATCCTTTTATCAGCTACTATGCCAAGTGATGTACTTGACGTAACATCCAAATTTATGAATGATCCGATTAAAATTCTTGTTAAAAAAGAAGAATTAACACTTGAAGGTATCCGTCAATTTTATGTTACTGTCGAACGTGAGGTAAAGAACAAAATATTTATTTTCATATATATATAATTTAATAATCGTAAAATATATTATCATCTATAGGAATGGAAACTGGACACGCTTTGTGATTTATACGAAACATTAACTATAACACAAGCTGTTATCTTTTGTAATACACGTCGAAAAGTCGATTGGTTAACAGAAAAAATGCGTGGACGTGATTTTACTGTATCTGCCATGGTAAGTAAAAAACGATCTCTTTTTTTCTATGAATTAATAAACTACTTATTCTTTAATTTTGATTTTAGCATGGTGATATGGATCAAAAAGAACGTGATGTAATCATGAAAGAATTTCGTACCGGTTCTAGTCGAGTATTAATTACAACTGATTTACTTGCACGTGGTATTGATGTTCAACAAGTTAGTCTTGTTATTAATTATGATTTACCAAATAATCGAGAGAATTATATTCATCGGTAAAATTAAAACGCAATTGATTTTTTGTAAATTTATTTATAATATTTTTTGTATAGAATTGGTCGTGGTGGTCGATTTGGTCGTAAAGGTGTAGCAATCAATTTTGTTACTGATGACGATCGACGAACATTACGTGACATTGAACAATTCTACAATACACAAATACAAGAAATGCCAATGAACGTTGCCGATCTAATTTAAAAGAGAGACATCTGTTCTTGTCCTTTCATCGACATCATCAGCACACCAACAAAATTGTTTTACCATCTTCTATATAAATTCTGATGATAACAAATAAACTTATAGTTAACATCTTTAGTTTCTTCTTCTTTTTTTTTAAAAAAAAAATATTTGCCTCCTTAATCCAGACCTAATACGGATACATACATGCATATATCTTTATGGGACGAAAATAGTTCGAGTCAATTATGTTTTTTCATATTTTTTCTTGTTATTTCGTCTTTCTATATATACATATATGTTGTGACGTTTTTGTTCATAAAACGGATAACAAAAAAAAAACAAATAACACGGATTTTTATTTCATATATAGTAGCTATGATAAAAACAAAGCAAACTAAAATCATTTGAAACAAAAATCATTTATGTATGTATGTA